TCAAGGGGTGGAAAAAACTGAAAGTAATCTATTTATGGGAAATAATATGTGAAATTCAGTTTTTAAAATATATTTCAGTAGTGGAAAGAAACCCTAATGACACAATCACCAGAGTTTGTAAGATCTCGGACTTGGGTTGGTGGGGGGTAAGTTCTGTGAGACCAACTTTAAGGTCTCTGTTAGATTCCACGTTAGAAGGTACTCCAAGAGAAGACTTTGTCCGTTCATTTCTTCAGATAGTAAATGTCCATTTTTCATTTTTTTCAAAATGTCCCTTTGACTTGGTTGATCTTTATTATAATTTTATAAGTCATATCATTACAGATAGGCCAGTAGACAGTTTGTTAGTAACTATATGCTGGGTGTAGGTTCGATCCCAATAGCTGGTTAACGGAAAATTTATATTCTTTTATTACTTAATAGTGACAATAAGTGAAATAAGAAGACAATTTATTCGAGGAATACATAAGTTGCTTCATTCACATTCTAAGATATTTGAACGTGACCTTTTTTCCAAGATTTTTTGGTCCTCAAATTGTTTGTGTTACATAATAACCTACATAATTCTTGTTATTTTGCCACTCCTTATCGTTATTTTGATTTTCTCTTTCGAGTTACCTAACGAAACAAAGTGATTCATAGCGTGTTTATTAATAATTATGTACCTACTTTTCGTATTGCACGATTATAACTCGTACACTTGACCTATTGATTGAAATAGGAAATATCACTCTTTTCTTTGGGATATGCAGTGTATGGATTATAAATACTGTATGTTTGACCAAGTGAAGATTAAACTGAAGATGAAGATGATTACTTGGTGATTGAAACACGTGGTGTCGAGTTGTTAAAAAGCATTTTTGAAAATATTTACAATCGAGGTTGGACCTTTTTTTTGGAAACGTGATATGAAGTGTAGCAAATGTCAAACTAAAAAGTTCACCGCGAGAAGTCCAATTAGACAATTACTAATTGTCTCTTTAGTTGTTTAAATTATACGCAGTAACTTTTCGGAGTGAACTTTTTAGTTGTTCATTACGCTTCAGCAGATTTTTTATTGATTTAGCTTTTTTAATTTCCAAGAATGTGTCAGATTAAATTCAAGACAAGCAGTATCGAAAAAATGAATTATTTATGGGTTATAATTCAGGTGGTGTTGTTTGACATTGACAAATCATCTAATTGGAACAGTTGAATAGCAGGATACAATGAATGCATGGCTAGAAACCATGTCAGTTCCGGTAAAATATGGTGATACCATAGTTCACCAAAAATAATTGTATATGCCCACATGACTTTGTTTTGAAACCGGAAACAGGAGTTATTTTACCAGGTGTGGAATTCACCTTCGAATCACTTCCTTTATTTCGCTTCACAGATTTCGATGTTGCGTCAGGTATATAGGGCAGTTTGCAGGTAGGGAGAATAACGGTAGGAATTGGACATTTTATACATAGCGAAGGGTTGATTTCAACGGTATCGCCACTTTTAATATTACGAAACTATTGTGATTTCGACTGGATTTAGAAATTTGATGTTGAGATATTTAGAAAAGCATTTTTGTGGTGGACTCATCAATGTTTCTAGATGTCTTTTTTGTTTATATTACTGTATTTTGGCTATGTCTCAGAGTAGAGTCATTAACTCTACCAAACTATACATATGATCGAATTCTCAATGGACCTCTACATACAGAAATCAAAGTTTATAATCATCTACCAAATGAAATGAAACAAAATTTTATCAAACAAGTTGAAATATAAACTGGAAATGGTATTGCATCATCATCCGTTCTATAATATTGTAGTAGTTTTCTGTAGTTGATTTCAATGTAAATTTTTCCTTTTTCATATTGAAACTTATACCATAGTCGACATTTTCCCAGTTCCCCTGCCTATAAATAATATATCTAATATTAGCATGTTATTATAGCAGTTATGTATCCAGTTCGAGAAGTTTAAAAGTCTCATGTCTATAACCTTCATATTCAACGCATTTCAAAAACAGCAATTTCGTCCTATCTTGCCGAATTCGAGATCATGGAATTTCCAAAAAAAAAAAATTCGAAATTCGTTCATTATTGAGAAAACAACAATTTTCATTTCATCATTTAAAGAGACATGTTTTTGAAATGATTACCTAATAGTAAAATTCTAATCCCAATAAAGAAAATCTCATATATTATTAATTTAAACAGTTATCTTCAATTAGTTGAACTATACCCATTAACTTCTTGAAGCATAATATCAACTAAAATATTCATCATGTTGTAACAAAGAGAACAAATAGTTTTATAAAATGTAAATATTTTCGTAATTATTATTGAACTTTGTATTGAACGCGAGTTACTAGAAAAACTAGTTAAGCTTCTGTGTAAAAAGTTGATTATTCCTTACAATTTGTATAAAGTAAACATGTAACTTGGAAAAAAAATTGTTTGATGTCGAATGTGAACTCTCATTTCATTATAGAAGTTGAAGCAGTTGAAATACCCACTTCTATTTGATTTTTCTTTGTGTGTCATTGTCTTTATGTGTTTCTTTGTACTGCAAAAAATATTCTTGAAAGATTTTCTTGAATAAATCATTCAGCACTGAATTCGTCGATAACAAATAAACCAATTTTGCAAAATATAACGGTGGTAGTAGAAGGATGATGTGAATCAAATGATGTGAATTTCATATAAAAATGGGATCCCCTCAAAACAAAGGTAGAGGTGTTCTTTGAAATTTTTGAACACTAGTCAATTGCTGAGTGGTCAAATTTTTGTTGGAACATCATGTATAATGATTCTGAAATTTTTTGGTGTCCTAAGGGATTATATAAATATCTCCTTTTATCAAAACAAAAGCTTTAACAAGCGTTTGAACACACAAAGATGGAAAACGTTGAAATCAGTTCGATAATTATAGTTATCTCGTGTATAGCTTTCGTTTTCCACAGAAATACAAATACTTTTTCTTATAATGCACTTTTTCTACTTTTCCTTATTTAAAATAATGGTGAATAATCCGTAAAATAACTGTTCACATTATTATTAAAATATCCGAATAAATAATAAGGCACGGAGTAAAATAAAAAACATAATGAATACAATGGATGGCGATAGAAATCTTGTCCACGAATTTTATTTTTTATCCATCTACAAATATTTGATTTTGTCTCCACTGAGTCATCGACTCGTGAGAATCCGTAGTGAGAACAAACAATTCATACAGGCGAACTGTAAATAATAGCGAGTAGGAGATGACAATGTATATTTGTATTCGAGTATTCTGTGGGTGGCAGACATTTTTGAAACGATATTTCGAAAATTCTGGTATCCGATCCATGATATGGTATTCACAAAAATCATTTGTTTTTCACGATATTTTTTGGAAACCTACCTTTTTGTATTCTAAATAAGCCGTATTTTTTTCAAATTGAAATATTCAGTTTCATTTTTTTTTGGTTAATCCTAAAACATCCATACTTATAACTGAGAACAGGTTTTCTGAGTCACAAATACAAAAAAGCATATTATCATCACAGAATAGAAGAAAATGCACAAAGTCTCTATCCATCCCCGTATTTTAGTAATTCATTTCAAAAGACTATCTCTAACGGAAATGTTGCCATCGTGTTTCCTTTAGATGGATTAGATATGAGCAATTATGCAGCAGACAATGTGACTCCTTGTCGTTATAATCTATATGCACTTTCGAATCACAGTAGGTCTACTAATAGCGGACATTACACAGTACACTGCAGACATCCCTACAGTGGCACGTGGCAAGACTACAATGATTCACACGTGTCACCAATTTCATCAAAATCGCACTTTTGAGATACCTGAGATGATTTTTATTTTAGTGTTTTGAGATATTATTTTCGAAAATATTTGAAAACATCATGATCTATGTGATATGCTCAAAATCATGTTGGATACCTTTTCATTTCCCATTGTGCATGGTTTAAACATAACATCAGAGTAGAGTATCACACTGCTTTTTATCATATCATACATTTGCAATACCTAATCATACGATTCGTTTGTTTTTCGAATATCGATCTGTAAAACATGTTTTTTTTGCGACCAGATTAGATAATACCTTATCTGGATTCCCTTCATATTTCTGATTTTTCAGGTATTTCGTTAGTACAAATCTCACCTTCCCCCTCTGTTATCTCGTTTAGCTTCGCGATTTACGTGTATGGACATTGCTATGAGTCTTCTTACTGGTTTGTGTCCTCCTTGGATTAAAACTAGAGGTAATTGTCAAATGAAAAAGATAATTGAAGTGATTAAGTGACTGAGCCGGACAAGTTACAAACGGAATGTTGTGAAGTGACGCCAAATTTAAGGATTCAAATTCAAATAAATTTTTACTAATTCGGTATATTTAATTCCTCCATATAATATATAATCACCCCTTTATTTCACCGGATTTCACTGTTGAATAAATCAGCTATCACTTTGACAATTAACAAGGTATTACTTTGAAATCTGTGAAATAATTAGATTATCTACATAAACAATTCATTCCACTTACTCTGGGGGATATTAAGTAGACTTGGGTGGAAATCCATTTGTTCACTTTTCCTGGCAAAGGGATGGGGGGTTTTTATAATATTTTTTAAGGACAAAACACAAGCGCTATAGAAAAGTCCTTGAGGCATCCCGTGCGAAAGTAGCGATTCGCTTTGGATTTGCATCGTTGGAGATTAAATTCATTTGGAAGAACGTTCTTAGGAAGTTTATTCCACATAAACGCAGTTATCCAAATAGAAGAGTTCTTAAAGAGCGTTAAAAAAAATCAAGTTGAAAAAAAAATACTAAAAGTGTTTTGTGGGTCTACTCCAATACTCTGAATCCTCCAAAAAAATTGTGGGACACATATTCTTTTTGTCTATGACAAAAATTGCACCAATATTATCAATTACCTCACGAAAACAAGGAGCCAGTTTGATTGTTGATTTCTTTCGAAAACATTTCTAACGATGCTTTGTTTTTTTTTCAGGGGTCCTGGACATGACCGCCACGGAGAACACCATCCGTTTCAGTGTCCACACCCTGGACAAAGCCACCAAAGCGAAAGTCACTTTAGAAAATTATTACAGTAATCTTATAGCCCAACATGTAGAACGAAAACAAAGGTAAGGACATTTTCGAAAATACCCGGTCTCGAATAACTATACCAAAAAACAATATGATTTAGTAAATTATGATTATTTATTAGTGGTTGAGAAATATTCGGACAGAAAATTTCAGTTCATATTCAAACTGAAAGATTCCGAAACTGGGCAAATACCTATTAGTGTGATAGAGTGTGGGCACGTTAAACAATGATTTAAAAAAAAAAGAGAAACATGTTTTTTAGATGCAACGCTCCGAGCCAAAACATGTCTTTCCCAAAAAATTAATATCTCCTAAAAATATATACCTATCTCTTCAATTTAAGCAACTTGAATCCTCTCCAGGGCCATAGCGAAAAGAAATACCAGGGGGAGAAGGAAATCCAAATTTTCTTAACCCCACCAGCAAAATTTCTCAACTTTCGAAGAAATGAAAGCCGAGGGATTAGTTACTACTATAATATATTCATTTTCTTACTTAGCTATCCAAAGATTGACTGAATGCTTATGTTACGGTATGCAAAAACAAAAATAAATTTTGGTGATTATAAAAATAATAATGGGAATTATTCTACTTTGGACCAAGGTCCAAAGTAGAATAATTCCACCATATCCACCATGTACAGGAATATTCAATACAAATGAAAGGAAACAACACTTAAATGATATTGTGCTTATTATATATTTATAAAATTATTACAATGTGTTAAAACAACGATAAAAATAAAATAAATACAACAATAAAAATTAATTGGCGCTCCGGGGCGACTTCATTGATTCCAGTGGCGCATTTGCTTTTTCAGCTGCAGGCAAACCCGGAAAAACCTGCAGCACCACATCATCTGAAGATCTTGATCTAACAATGTCCTCTCTCTCATAAAACAAAATGTAGGGTGTCTCCAGAGGCTCCAATAAATTCAATGCATCACCAGAACACTTCGTGACACGACTATCGTCAAACTTAAACCAGGCCGTTTCTTCTTTGACCAAGGCGTAATAATGACCACATTCAACGCCAGAACCACAGTGAACAATGACTGCATGAATATTATAACAGTGGTCTGCTAGGTTGAAATGTTCATCTATTGCGTATTGTTTTCTACTATTATTTTTTCTATCTTCACGGCCCGAAATTTTCCAACTTTTCCAAGTCGAAAAAACAGCGAAAAGTAGGGAATTTTGTAAAACTGTCACTTCAAAATTTGTGGACTGTTCTCTTACTTGGGAGAAATTGAACTTTTTTGAAGTTTTCAAACAACTCAGAATTTCAAAGTATGGAATCTCCAAGTTATGCATGTTGGGAAATCCCAACCTTCTCCTGGTTCATTCCTTTTTCTTATCACATATCCCTTTCTTTTCTCTCATTTTTATTTTTTCAATTTTTTTTCATTTTTTTACTATTATTTTTTTCTATCTTCACGGCCCAAAATTTCCCAACTTTTTCCCAAGTCGAAAAAGCAGGGGGGGGGCTCCCCCCCCCCATGGCGACGGCCCTGATCCTCAATATTCCAGTAACATTTTTTTCTTTTGGGTTTGAAAATTTCGTAATCAGTGCTTCAGAATTTTTCCCGTTATTATCTTACGTTTTCTAAAAAATTACTGCACTTAGATTGTTATCACTGCCGACAGTGATATGATTTAAAGTCGTTCAGTGGATGATACAAGATAGCGGATGTGCGTAAACTATTTTTTATATTTTAAATATTTATTGAATATAAAGTGTCCTCGATAAAAATTTATTGAAAAATGAGAGATTTTCAAACGAAGACAATAAACTTTATTCCATCGCCAGAGTACAGTATTGGTCGAGGAATAGGTATAACACGTTAGGGTAAAACCATTTGGACTGGTTTTTTTATTGATCCTATTTATATCAACCACGCAAAAATCGTTCTGATGGTTTGAGGGATCTCGCCAGATCATTGGTGTTCGATACTTGACATGGATGTCCATAGAAAATTCAAAATAATCAAGATTCATGCGTTTTACAACACACTTAATCTACAATTTTTGAATGTATATTCACCACAGATGTTACAGAAATAGTTGGGATCGGTTTTACAGATATTTCTCGAAGTAGACATTGTAACCAAAAATGAATTTGTAAAAGATTCACTCGGTTTTATGAAAGTTAATTGTAACTAGTACACAATTATGGTCGATAGCTGTATATCAAAAGCTAGAGCTGTTGGAAAAGAAGGGAGGGTAGATTCGATATAATTTAACTTTTCTTTTGTTTTCACTTCAATATCTGTATTTTAAGTAACAAATTTAATAAAAACGGTAAGGTTTATTTTCTGGATCAGTTTTGTTTGGTACTCACTAGCTTCTAACAGCGATAAAAATGTTCACCTGTCACATCGTTTGCTCTGTTATATACAAAAATAAATGCACCTTTTCGTTTTAATCATCAGGTATTCAATATTGTAGAATTGCCAAATTCCTAGTGTTTTTACGCATAAATTATTAAGGTTATGTTCAATGATGAATTGCGATTTACTTCTCCTAGTTGAAGTCGCGAGCAGAAGTAAATATAGAATACGTTCTGAAATCACCTATTACTGAAAAGAAATAATGAAAATCACGACCTTCATATTATTGCAGGTTTTGTACATACCGTTATATTATTTCGTGAATTGCTTTTCATTGCACTGTTTTGAAACGTTGAACGTGATTATTTTTGATGATTTCATTACTTCACATTCATATCAACGGAATGGCAGTTGATGCTTGTTGTTGAAATATATGAAAAGTTTATTTTTCATGTCTGTTTGCTATTTTAGAAATGTCAAGAGTACAAGAAGAATTTCAACTGTGAACATTGAAAATCCACTGTATATGTTCAAAATATTAAAACGCAATGTGAACGATTGGATAAATATTTAGGGTAGAAAGTCAGTCTGATTCAAAAAAATATAAATATAGGCCGTAAAATTGCAAGAAAATAATACATGACTTCAACACCTCACTAAATCTTTCAGTGAAACTACTATCTCTATTATTATTCCAGTTTCTCCTGAAAGAGATACGAATTTGATGTTTAATTTTTTTGTTCTCTTTCTTTTTTTAGGGTTTCTAGAATTTAATTTACCCTAATTATTCTATCATAATTTACCTTTACTTCACTCACGAAATTTTCTCGGTATGTTTTTATATATTTTTTTAGCGGTATCGAGAGCATCAACTAAATAAAGTTTCAACACTAACAAACTTTTTGGGATTTAACATCAGACATTACACATACTCTCCGAAAAATTTCACAATTGTCTTTTACTGCGTCAGTTTAATAAAACGAAATCGGTAGTAACAAATAAAAATCTTAGTAGAAATTAGACAAAATATATTTTGTCTCTATCTCATATTTAAGAATTTCTACAAAATAACTGGGTCATCAACTAGCAAAAAACAAAACCGTTACTGAAATAAATATACGGTGTTTTTGTTTTTAGGTTAGCAAAATTAGAGGAATCCTTGAAAGACGACAGCCTCTCAGAAGAGCAGAAGCACGAAAAGAGGCTGCAGCATGCCCAAAAAGAAACGGAATTTCTTAGGCTAAAACGATCTCGATTAGGAGTTGAAGACTTTGAACCCCTCAAAGTGATTGGTCGGGGGGCCTTCGGGGAAGTTAGATTAGTACAGAAAAAAGACACCGGCCATGTGTATGCTATGAAAATTCTCAGGAAGGCTGACATGCTGGAAAAAGAACAAGTACGTCAAATCATTCAGTTTACACATAATTTTTTTCAACCTATTTACTCTAGTTGTTCAGTAATTTTTAGAATCAAAACCATAATGGTTATTCAGTCTCATCAGTCATAAAACGTAACATAATCAATCCACCTTTTGGGAAAGAAAGTTTTTGGCTTTCTACTACTCCATCTTGATACAAAAAAAGGATGAGGGGATCTTCCAAAGAAAGGAAGGAACTAATCAATTTGAAAATAAGTAACTCTATACATGGATGTGTAGATCATGCAAAGAAGTAACTTTCAGACACAAACTGAAAGAAAGTCCTCCTGAAACAGCTACTTTCATATAAACATTGAATTACACGAAAGAAAAAAATTCTTTCTAAACAACTACTTCTATATGAACACTGAATTATACAAAAGATACTTTTCTCTACTCAGTTTGTATTTCAAACATTCGTTGTGGAATGAAAATCAGATATCATTCACATGAGTTCTACTTCAAATGAATGGTAAAAAATTGCACTTACATGGAACACTGTCATCCTCACTGGTATACACCGATGTTTCGCTTTAAGACACTTGCCCCAAGGCTCTTCAGTACCAAATTGGATAACATTATAGAAAATACACACACTTCATTCATGAATTACGATTTTTAATGTCAAGATGGAGTAGTAGAAAGCCAAAAACTTTCTTTCCCAAAAATAATCACTCCTAAAAATAAAACACCTTCAATTCAATCCACCTTGTTGAATAAATTCTCAGAAGAAAAATATCTGAGCGAATTTGTCTTAAAATTCTTGTCAATTTCTAAAATTGTATGCTGATACTGATCAAAATTATTATTTTATATTAAAAGTCAAAGACAATCTCTTTTATTCATTATTTCAATTCAGTATAGTATAGTAATAATGAACCAAATTCTAATTCATTTATTTTGTTCCTAAAATATGACTGTATCGAATTTTTTCGAAACCTACAAGCATGATGGAGAATACTTACAACTGCTTTTTCACAGGTAGCCCATGTGAGAGCAGAACGTGACATTTTAGTGGAAGCTGATCACCAGTGGGTCGTAAAAATGTATTATAGTTTTCAAGATCCTATTAATTTATATTTGATAATGGAGTTCCTGCCCGGTGGTGATATGATGACACTTCTCATGAAAAAAGACACGCTTTCAGAGGAATGTACGCAGTTTTACATTACCGAGACTGCTCTAGCTATCGATTCCATACACAAACTGGGATTCATACATAGGGATATCAAACCGGATAACTTACTGCTCGATGCCAAGGGACATTTGAAACTTTCCGATTTCGGGCTGTGCACGGGTTTGAAGAAATCACATAGGACGGACTTTTATAGAGACTTAAGCCAAGCTAAACCATCAGATTTCAGTGAGTATATTTTTTCATTCATTTCATATTTATATAAACTTATCCAACGAAAGAATTCTGATCATGGTCGTATTGGGGTAGAGTAGTATGTCAATTTGAACAAGAAAAAAACGGGAACTATATCATCAGCATAATGGTGAGAGCAACAGTTTCTCATTATTCAATGAAACTCTGAGATATACAACGAGAATAGTTGAGGTCTAAGGATTGAGCCTTGGAGAACTCCTCAAGTTACAAAAAACTGAAACTTGATATTCCAAGAACAGTACTTTGGCTACGCCACTGAAGATGACTGCCGCAGTTGCAGTTGAAATGCTTGGAGATTGTAACCAAAGAAGACCACGGCAAAACCCGGAAACCTACCAAAACATATACTTTAGTTACTTAATCAAGGTACTTTTTCAAAAGATTCAGGTGCATTGAAATGAATATTTGAAACTTCTCTCCACAATCCAAATAATCTATTTTCATCATAAGATTGAAACTAACTTATTCAATTAATTTTTTTTATATATTTTTTTTTGTGAAAAAATATCATTTCCTACAGTGCTGTATGTTTGAATGGGCTTGTATTGAGGAGCGATCCAAAGTATAGAAAAATGTCGCATCAAAAGCGATTCAATGGAATTTTTATGTCAAAATTATTATCAGTATTATTCCATCTTTTGTTAAATATCAGTGTTAATTAATGTAGATTCATATTTATTATTCATATTTATCAAATGAATCTTTCACATCTGGAACATTTCCAGATGTTAGGAATCAACATGTATTCCTGTATTTAAAAATAAGGGCTCTGCTTGTGACATACATAACTATAATGCTATATGCATACAAAGTCTAATCGCTAAACTATTCGAAGCATCCTATTGTGATAGATTGACCAAGCACTTGGAATATTTTGAGCTCATCTCAGCAAATCAGAATGGTTTCCGTAACCACAAATCAACCAGCTCGGCAAATTTTTGATTGCCTAGAGTTTATCTACAGTGCACTGAATGATAGAAATACTGTTCTAGGACTGTTCTATGACTTCAGTAGGGCTTTCGATCCTATTGATCATCATTTGTTAATCATGAAATTGGAAGGGTTAGGAGTTAGGGGTGTTCTACTTCAATGGGTAACATCATACTTAACAAACAGAACCCAGACGACAGTGGTGAATGGTGTGAAGTCAGATTCAAGAGTAATAAATTCAGGGGTTCCACAGGGTTCAATCCTGGGACCACTATTGTTTGTAGCTTTTCTTAGTGACAGTGAAGACACCTGTAAATTCGCAAATCAAATGATATTATATGACGATGACACTAATATTCTTATGTCACACAATAACATTGATCAATTAAAAAAATTAAGTAACAAGGCATCTAATGAAATAGAAAGGTATAGCCTTGAGAATGGCCACAGCCTGAATAGAAAAAAAAATGATTATGCCCGGTCCTTGCCAAAAAACATGAATCCAAATTATGACCTATACTTAACGTTATCTGGTAAATCTATACAATCCATGGAAACCATCAAGTTCTTAGGTGTAACTTTGAATAGTAAGCTAACATGGGAAGCACACATAAATACTGTATGTTCGAAACTAAGCACTACATGCTATATAATGAAAAATCTGCGAGATACTGTATCAGCAGACATCTTGAGACTATTATATTTTGGGATGGTACAGTCTACTCTACAATATGGCGTGATCTTCTGGGGGTCGTCTTGTCACTTTGAAAGGGCATTTGTATCTCAAAAAAGGATAATAAGAACGATTTGTCATGCTCATCCAACCACAACATGTAAACCTTTATTCAAGAATCTCCAAATACTAACCCTACATGTTTATATATATTCTTGAACTGATTATGTACATAAAACGTAACCAAAATGAACTAATGAGGAAGGAAGACACTCATATGTATAATACTAGGAATAAAGAAAAACTTCGACAACCCTATTCAAGGTTATCAGTCTGTGAAAATCCACCAAAGCATATTGGTATCAAGTGTTTCGATAAAATAGAGATTTGATAGATGTGAATCTGAATGACATTCTATTCAAGAATAAATTGAAACATTTTCTTCTTGAAAAAGTATTTTATAATGCTGAAGAATTGTATAATAATTCGTGATATCTCATAACTCTGAGACTGACTATTGTATGTGCAATTTTTCTGGTTTGTTTTGCGACTATACTTATACTATCTTAACAATTTATTTGTAGATTTCCTTCTTTTCTCTCTTGACTAGTCTGATAACTGTTATGCATGTGTGTATGTATAATGCCTTGTATAACCTTTGATTGATGAATTAATTCTATTATTATTATTATTACTTCACTATCTTCATTTGCAGTCATCACATCAAGTCCGATGGACAGCAAACGAAGAGCAGAAAGTTGGAAGAAAAACAGAAGAGCCCTCGCCTATAGTACAGTGGGGACCCCCGACTATATAGCGCCAGAGGTATTTTTGCAAACGGGCTACGGGCCTGCCTGTGATTGGTGGTCATTGGGTGTCATTATGTACGAGATGCTCATAGGTTATCCACCATTCTGTTCGGAAAATCCGCAAGATACCTACAGGAAGGTTATGAACTGGAGAGAGACCTTGGTTTTTCCAGCTGAAGTTCCGATCTCTGAAGAGGCCAAAGATACAATTATTAAGTGAGTCAAACATTTTTTTCAACTGAACATAACCGGTGACCAAACAAACAAAATTGCAGAGTTGAGAATCTCATATAATTCTAAACGAATCTCAATACATTATTGATTGAAGGTTGTTCCTCCAATCACGTCATAATTCAATTCTGAAATCTGGCATATACAAATTTGTTGATTCTTGGCTGGTATGATCTCTGCTGTGATGTATCATTTTTTAATAATAATATTCCTTTATTTTATCATTTGAACGCACAAAGGTTACATAAATGATTAAAAACGTCAATATTTTAGTTACATTATTACATTGAGCAAGGACATGTCAACAATACAAATTTACATATACATGTATATATAAAAAAAATCAATTATATAGTTTAAAAATAAAAATTAGCAATGATTGTTATCTATTGCAAACTTATTTTTATTCTTATAGATATAAGTGCAAGCTTCCAGTATATATAAACTATAAACTGTTAATACACCAAGAGTTATAAAGTATTGACGACAACTGGTTCTCATATCAATACTTTCCATAATTCGATTTGCGTATTTTTGAAGAATGAAGATCCGATTCGTACCGGCACTGTTTCCCCAATTCAGTATACCATACTTCATGTGGGAGTGAAAATGTGCAAAGTACAGCGTAAGCCAGACATTTTTGCTGCAGTGGTCTTTCATATACTTTACGCTGTAGCAACTACTTCTTAGTTTATTAGAGAATAGTTCTATATGACTTGCCCATTGCATATGTTTGTCGAAAATTACTCCCAAAAGTTTCACCTCATCACTACAAGTTATTTGTTTTTCTGTATTTTTGAGTAACACAGGTGATCTTTATTTGGAGCGGCCAAAAAATACTGTGACTGTTTTGTTATGATTCAGTAACAGACAATTATATTCAGACCAACGAATAATATCTTCATAAATCTTCTCAGTTTTACTCAGTAGCATGTCTATGTTTTTTTCAAAAATTAGTAAATTGGTATCGTCTGCATAACACACTATTTTCATATCATGGTTTCTTTCCATTAGACGGATTATATCATTTACAAATATATTGAACAATAAAGACCCCAATACAGATCCTTGAGGTACACCTCGATTTATTTCACGGTATATTACTCAGAACTCCATTTAGTCTAACAACCTGACTTCTGTCATTTGAATATGATTCAAATAATTTTAGCGGTATCCTCCTAACTCCATACGATTCTAACTTACTACATAAAAGCATATAATTGACTAAGTCGAAAGCTCTTGAAAAGTCAATGAAAAGACCTAGAGCATATTTTTCCTTATCAAGATTGTCTACAAGACATTTTTGAAAATCACACAGTGCAGATTCTGTGCTCATATTTTTACAGAATCCTGTATCCAGATTTCTGGATAACAGTCTCTGATACCACAGAAATGATGAGAGTTGATTAGTGATGTCCATTTCAATGAATTTAGAGAGACTTGATAATAAACTGATGGCTGTATAATTGGAAAAGTCATCAGAATCACCTTTTTTGTATAATGGCAGAACCACAGCTAACTTCAAGCATTCTGGGAAATTTCCTTCAGAATAACAAAGATTGATAAGAAAAGCCAATGGTTCACATAAGCCTGCATACGATTTTTTTAGTAGGTTATTTGATATTTCATCAAATCCACTTGAGTTGGAAGATTTCAAATTACCAATCAATATTTTAACATCTACAGGTGTAACTGTCTTTAAGAAAAAACGATTTTTCTGACATTGGCGTATTCAACTTTAATCCAGATCATGCTGATTTACCGAAAATGGATCTCTGGTGAAATGGATGTTAAACTGCTCTGCCATTTCATGGGCATCGTGAATGTTTATGGGTATATTGTTTTTACGTCCTTTCAAATTATTAATAATTTTCCATACAGTTCCAATTCATTCATCCAATTAATTCATTGTTTGTTTGATAATATGTTGCTCAAAGTTATAACTTATGAGAAAAACCTTGAAAATCATTATTTAGGTAGATTTCTGCTGCTAGTTTTTGAGAAATTATAGTCCACGATGAAACTGGTGATTAATAAAGTACAAACACTGCCAAACTTGTGGCAAACTGAGCAAAAAATAACTTTCAATGGTGTTTCCAGGTAATGAAATCAACTTCATACTTCTGTGCATATTCACGTGCAATATTTATAACATATGAAATAACGTGAAACAAATTGTTTATATGTTCTGTGTTTTTTCAAGATTCTGTTGCGAGTGTGACAGAAGACTAGGATCTCAAAAGGGCTTGGAGGATTTGAAACTGAATCAGTTCTTCCGCGGTGTGGATTGGGAACACATAAGAGAGAGACCTGCAGCCATACCTGTAGAAGTACGATCTATAGATGATACTTCAAACTTTGACGATTTCCCTGATGTCAAACTAGAAATTCGTGAGTATATATTTACAATTTGAAATTGTATACGAGTGAACAGTATACGAAGTCTGTTGAAAAAATTAAGTGAATTATCATTTTTCTAAAAAAATATTTATTTATTCATCGATATCGATTTTTCTCCTTCAAAGTAGGCCCCCTCGGATATAATACACTTGTTCCAGTGTATTTTCGATCCTCAAAGCAGTTCTGATATTTACTTTTCGGTATGTCCTTGAGCTCTCTCAGAATTTCGGTTTTTATCTCCTCAATCGTCACAAAACGCCGTCCTTTCATGGATCTCTTCAATCTTGGGAACAGGAAAAAGTCGCAGGGCGCCCAATCTGGTGAATATGGCGGCTAGGGCATGATTACAGTGTTGTTTTTTCCACAATACTGAACGTTTTGAAAGGAACTTCGTTGCCACACACTTCGTGCCCAAAATTTCAGAAAGAATTACATGGCATGACCAACCGATATGCCGATAATAGTGGTTTGACCATTCTATGACAATTTTTTTCCACTTTCTTAACATTTTTATCAGTTTCATCCGTGCTGGTGCATCTAGGGCGAATGTCGTCATTCACATCTTCTCGACAATCAGTGAAGAGCATGTACCACTTGTAAACATTTTTCTGGCTCAGAGTACATTCACTGTATTCCACTGTCAACATTTCCAAGTGTTTTTGAGCACTTATTTTCATTTGTTGTATACAGTTTGATGCAATTTCTTTGATCCATTTTTTTCGATAGCGAAAATCGCTACCAACAAACTGAACAGTTGAAACTGTGAGCATATGTTCGAGGCGAGTGTACCAACATAAGAAAAAAATACCGATCGAATGTATGTAGCCCGCAAAATTTGAATATTCATCTTATTTTTCGAACAGCCCACACATATATTCCATTCCATATTCCATTGATGAAAATGAAGTTTTCTAGCATTTTGAATGACATGTAATTAGCAATTATAAAGTAAAGTCACTTTGAAATCATGATATTCATTCAATCTTTTTCGTTTCCAGCTGCCGCACCTATGCCTCAAGATGGTGAGATCAATTACAAAGATTGGGTCTTCATAAACTACACCTTCAAGAGGTTCGAAGGGCTAACCCAGAGGGGGACTCCCACAAAGAAATAGTTGTTAATAGCTTTTATTGCAAACAAAAATCAGGGAGTTGATTGCCCGGCACTTATTTTTAGAAAATTAACCACTTCAGAGACGTTTACATAGATATATTGTTCTCACGTTAGTTCGGATTCAATTAGTTGTTTTCTAAAAATAAGTTTTTGTATATTATAGGTCTGAAGCAGTTTTGCACTTGTTTTGCTTCGAAGAGCTGTGAAAACTGTAACTTACATTGTACCCGAGAATGTCGGAAAATGAAATATTATGTTGCTACCGAGATCACGAATTTATATAATTCTCAGTTCAGTAATACTCAAAACCATACTACCTGCCGAGTAATATGTGAAAAGGTTATCCGGGAGGCTTTGAAAACTTAGTTTGTTCCGATATAATTTGACATGAAGCATACTCTAATCTAGATTTTTCAAATGGTTACTCACAGTTAATGAAAGTTAACAAAAAGAATATCCTTTCAGTCAATGAACTTTTAATCGTACGGATTGAAATGTTCATTTCTCACAAGTATTCAACATTCCATTAATTTCCACATAACGTGTGATGATTTGTTTGTAGTATTCAGTGAGGGAGAGTAGAAAACATTATTTTTTTCATTTGTTAGTGACCATTAATTTCTTTCAATACAACTTGAATTTTTTCGTATCCTATTTGAATAAGTAATTTTTATCTCCAGTTGGGAATCTCCTCTTCACCCATACCAACTTATAGAAGATCTGCTATTTATACCACTCAATTAGTGGGCTTGTGAAAAGCTTCCTCATCCCTCTGGTCTCCTATGAATGTGATACTTGTTTGAAACTTTGATATTTTGTGTGGATCTATGTTATGTTGAATAATAAAAAGCAAAAATGTTTTAGTCTGAGGCAGTCATCTCACCCTTCAAGTTCTTTTCAATGTTTAATTGCATCCTCCATTTATTTTTAATCAATTGTGTTGAATGTTTTACGTAAAAAATACCTAATTTTCCACAAAATTATTCTGAGCTGTCACGTTTCTTCATAACCCTCTTTTTTTCACAAATTTAATTTTTGGGATTCACCGGTGAAGTAACATAATATTACAATTTCTTGGAAGTGAATTTTGTGCTGTATTTTTATGTGATAGGCTATGATTAACTTTTTGTGTATATATGGACAGCACAAAATGATATGACACATGCTGCCAAGTAAAAAACCGCGAATCAAAACAACGGGAATCTGGTTTTGAGTACAATGTAAGAGTTTATTTTTGTGTATATGTTAATTTTTGTTCATTGTTACAAAGTGATACTTTTTATTATTTTACATTTGTTTTTAACTTATAGAACTGTGTTTTTCTGACCTTACAGTCAGGAGATATTTTGTATTAGCTTGATGATCATCGTTGTCACCTGACGTTTAGCACCATTTCAGTCTGCTTCTGTCAGTGAGATCGTATTTTCTTTGATAAACGGCTGAGTTATAATCGGGGGCAGGCACAAGTGAAATACTGAAGTGGAATTACTATTTCATTCAATGCTGTTTTCAACAACTTTTCTTGGGTATCCTTTAATAATTAATTGAAAAATGTCCATACTAGTTTTTTACTGGCACATATCCTGAGTTTCAGCTGAAGAATAAAATCACTTGATTTGCTGTTATATTTTTTCAACCATCGTGGTCTGGAGTCGGACATGAATCCATCTCTAGACATCAAATGAATTATGGTCAAAAAAATGTAAGATATGTTTGAATGTAGTTTGGAAGTTTGTCAGTGTTTTGTATATGTTCATTTTCGCCTGAGAAATCTATGAATATACTAAACCCCAAAAAACTGGTGATCCTCAAATTTTCTTACAATTTCAAAAAGATGTTCATAGTAAAATTTCATCACTAAACTGCCTAATCAAAAAAAATATACATTATGCTACTGTAAAATGTTCATAATCCTCATAAAATCAAAAAATATAAAGGTCAACTTTTTAAAATTTAAGGTTTTTTAGGTTAGATACTGTAGAGTTACTCCGTCACAAGAAGATTTTGAGAATATTGTAGAAATTAGTGATACATGATAAAAATCCATTATCACACATTCAAAAGATTTCCACTTGAGAGTTCACAAAACTGCGACAAGTGTTTCGCTGTATAATAGCATCCTCAGGCGTCACTTGAGGATGATATCCTCAGGATGCTAACGTATAGCGAAATATGTCTCGTGGATTTGAAAAGTTTCAAGTGGAAATCTCATATTGAAGTGTGTTTTTTAAATACAAGATTTTGAAACACATCAATCTGCAAGTTGTATAAGCTTTAAGAATAAGTCCAAAAACTATTTGAGGTTATTACATGTAAGATTGATTTTTTGCTCAGAACTCATTCAGGCATCAATTGAAATTTTCTAAGCGTCTTTGGAGTTGAGAGTGTTGAAGTTATGGGTGGACTAAATGAGTTTTATGTAAAAAAAATCAGTTCCAGAAAGTAAGGTAACCTCCGGTATATCAAAAAATGTTTTTTTTCATACTTCTAAACCAGAATATAAAAAATTCCGATGTGATGAAGCAATTCTGAAGTCAGTCACGTTCAGCAGACTAAAAGTTTTCTGGTATTAATTCAAAAGAAACTTAGTAGTTTATTTGATGGCGTGAATATCGAATTGAGTAGCAGGTATGCATAAAATCAATATTGAACCCAGTGCATGGTAGGTTAGACATAAGATAATGGGGTAATATTAAAAGTAATGAACGGATAAGCTCGCAGATATCTTTTATATGATTCGGTTGGATTTTTGAAGATGCTATTTTTATTTTGATGAAAGGAGAATAATTTGATGTAGGCTGTTCCCAGTTGATTTTGTGAGATTCCAATAAGAACTCGTGTTTTCAATAAAATTCCAGAGTTTTATTAAATTACCTAATGAAAAGAATAGTAGTCTATTTAGTAGTTTTTTTCCTGTGATAGAAATTCATTTGTAACGTCAGAAATGAGCATAATTTTTCCTCAACAGTATATTTTTCCCAATGAACCAACTGTTTGGAATCACAACCTATGGGTACCATATTATTCATAAATTAAAAAAAATTATTGGAACAAAATTTTATTTAAATTGAAATAAAAATATATTTATGGAAAGATTAAATCATGCAGAGAAATAACTTTTAGACACGAACTGGAAGAAGAGCCCTTTCGAAACAGCTACTTTCATATAAACAGTTTGTGTCTTGAAGTTATTTCTCTGCATGAACTACACATCTTTGTAAAGTTACTTTTTTGAAATTGATTGCTTCCTTTCTTTTTTTGGAAGATTCCCACATTTTTTGTATGAAAATGGAAAAGTAAAAAGCCAAAACCTTTCTTTTCCATAAATATTATTCTAACATAGTATCAGAATAAATTCTTTCAACGCCAATTTGGATTCTCAACTTTTTTAAATATAAAGATGAAAAAAGTAAAAAGCCAAAACCTTCCTTTTCCATAAATATTATTCTAACATAGTATCAGAATAAATTCTTTCAACGCCAATTTGGATTCTCAACTTTTTTAAAAAACCTGATGACTTTTTGTAAAATTCACAATCAACCTTGTGTATTATCAAGGATTGCCTGGTTTCCTTTGAGATTGACATAATTACGGTCATAACTAAATTACTCCTAGTAATATTGGCCACGTTTGCATTTTACTGAACACCTTTGACTAGAAAATGTTGAATTTTTTCTTCTTACCCTGGACTCTTCTTTTGCAGTGGCATTGAGTACAAATGTTAGTAGCAAGCCAAGTGGTCTTTTAATTATGTTTTGCTATACATATCGGCGACTGGTTGTTAGGCAGTCCTTAAAATTTAGATGTAAAGCGATATAGAAGAGAACAAAAATTTGAAAGTTGATAATGTTAAGTGTTAAGCTGAAGTAGCTCTCTAAGCCCTGCTATCTTTCGACAGTTCAGATGAGCATAAAGTAGAATTTATCATTAATTTGTTATTTATTACATTGTATTTTATAGTTGGTCTCGCTAACAGGACTTGTACATATATTTACTTCCGAAGATGTGTATAACTAAATTAAAAAATAATAAACTCATTTGTGCTTCATCTGGTCTTTTATTACACGTTTTATATTAACTTCACTTGTATGTATGTATGTTTGTAACTCTCAAGCTCGAGATCTGTATTTGACAGAATTACCGACATTATTGCTTGATCTATTCGCGGGAAGATGGCGCCGTACCAAAATATCAATGGTCATATATATAAACATTAGAGCTGATCTTTCCCAAAATTTAGATAAAAAAAAATATAGTTCAATAAGTCTAAAAAAACAAACTTTTATAGCATACGAAACTTAAAAATGTTTTTATTTACTTGCAAGGTAAAACTTAACGACAGAAATGATGACAAAAAAAACTTAACCTAAGCATACAAGTTTAAGCACACCAACAACTAACAAATAATTTAAATGAATCACACCAAAACAAAAACACTAATGAGATTTATGTAATTGTGATTTTCCACCGGCAATACTTTGTAGTTGTGGATCAATTTTACTTGTACCAATTATCAAAAGAGATTTAAGATGCTCATCGGTTAATTGAGATCTGTAAACATTCTTTGTGTAGAAAAATGGAACTGAAAGTTCCATTTTTCTTGGAACGTTCTGCATTCACATACTGACAAATCACACATAAGTCAAATCAAAATACTTTTATTGACGGGTGTTACTTTATTTCACAATAGACAGTTTCCCTTCCTTCGCCTTTCCTACACAGACTAACTCGCAGTTGAATGAATGAATATCGTTTATTCAATTTGTTTGATAATAACATTACATTTGTTGGGTATGTTTGTGTGGGGCCCTAATATATGGTAATGCCCACAAACCGAGAGTAAGTAGTTTGTGGTAATGCCTCTTCAGGGTAAACTAACTCGCAGTTGCGCCGCTAGCCTTTTTATGTGCAATTATTACTGCCATCTCGAGGTGATCGTAATACACTAGCTAGAACCAGAGCTTTCTCGAACAACGCGGTAATTCCAAATATTTAATTACGCCTAATGCCACCTAGCGGGTAGCTGAAAAAGATAGTACATAGTACAACTACTCGCCACTAGATGTTGTTCAGTGTCACAATACACAATAATAATAGAAATACAAAAAAGCGTAAGTTTGCTTAGGTCACACACTTTGCGACTATCCTAGTCTAGAAATATAGTTAAGGGCAGAAATTGGCCCTTGGAACAAACTGAAAAAATCTTTATGACCCGAAGGCTTCAAAGTTTGGAGACCCCTGCAATAACGTGTTATAGAATATTTCATTTGGAAAAAGTATCTTCCCTCAACATCTAACCTGACCTCCGAATTTAAAAAGGAAGGAAGGATCGAATATCACATTTGAAAATAATTATTTTCCTGAACATCTAGTTTGACCTTCAAATTCAAAAACGTATTTTTCAATTTTTGAAAAAAAATATTGATCGTGAACATCTAACTGATATCCGAAGCCAAGAAAAACGAACGTATTTTTCAAAATTTTATTTGCAAAAATGATACATCCTCAACGTCTCATCTCGCCTGTCTATTCTACTCTACTACACTCAACTCTACCCTACTCTAACCTAACCTAAACTATCTTAACCTAACATAACCAGAAGTTGAGAAACTTGTGCGAACTAAGGACTAACGAGGTCTTACCTTTTAACGTGTGATTTCTAATTCATAAACATGAATGAAGTCGCCCCGGGGCGCCAATTAACTTTTATTGTTGTTTTTATTTTATTTTTATCGTTGTTTTAATAAAATGTTCAAATATTTTACATATATTAGAATATTAGATTTGGAAAAAATTATAAATCATGAACATTTAACTTGATATCCGAAGTCAAAAACGTATTTTCGAATATTTCATTTTGGAAAAACTAATCCACTCGAAACATTTAATTTGGCATTCGGAATCAAATGCGAACTCTGTAACGGTCAACAGATGATGACTTGATGACGCAAAAATCGTGAAATAATTCAAATTCTAGACGGCGCCAGATTATGCCATTTCTGACTACTAGATGGGAGTACGGACAAATACCAAAAATATTTTCTCATCATAAAAATAGATGACACTACCATACATTCATCAATTTATCGTCGATAATTAACGAAACTAATTTTACAATTAAACATAGTGAATACAATTATCTACGTTGACTTGAAGAAAGGATGAATTTGGTAGTTTTTTCAACGATATTTGTCCTAGCCTCAAAATGAATGTGCTGAAAAACAGGATTGCCCCCCAAAACACGAAAATCCAGAAAAAACGTATTTGTTAAAACGATAATGACGTCCATCCTGGACCGTTCTACTCCTCACGGTCCTCCAAACCGGTAGGATGTTGGGGAATCGATAGAAAATGGCAAAAACGACAGAAATTTTACCATTGTTGATGAATTTTGTATACAAAAAGCCGACAATTACTTGAAACATCGGTCTCTAGATGGCACTACAGTCGAAAATGAAAATCGTTCTCGAGCATATCAAGTACTAGATGGCGCCATAATATACTCATCGATAATCCGTCTAAAATAAACATATTTCCAAAGCAGAGACATTGTCTACGGATTTAGACAATGGCAGAGATTCACTTTTTAACACGCTTTTATTAACTTCACCTGTATGTATGTATGTTTGTTTGTTTGTTTGCTTATACATCTAGCTCGGGTAGATGGCGCTGTACGTACGTGATCACCCAAAGACGATTGTGGATACAATCGAAACGTCATGTAGCAACTTGATTTGGAATCTTTTAATTTTTATTTTTCATTTAAGAATTTTTAATTTCAATTAAAATTCGAAACACTCGGATAAAAGCGAACAATTTTCTGTGCAATACTGCCAACCTAATAGTTTTTTTGTGTAGAAAATTCATAGAAAAACCTATGGAAATTTGAAACATAATCTCAAAAAGGAATCTATAATTTTACGAAATGTGGCTCATGAAAAAGAAAAAAATACGTGAAATTGCCCAAATTTCACGTATTTTGTGCATTTTGCGCCTCATTGACTTAATAGTGGACAAATCACTGATCCGCCAGACCAACGAGTGGAAATAAAAACGTACCCTATTTTTGAATTTTGACAGTTCCATTGAGTTTTGACTTTTGATTTTTGACATTCACAGATGAAATGTCAACCCCATAAATGGCGGTGACATAATTTATAAATAAAATATTCATTATTGTAAACGATTATTATTTTAAGGTATCAAGGCTCCCTTATCAAAAGTTTTGCGGTTAGTGTCGTATACAACCTTTATTAATCGCATTGATTAACCGTTGTAGATAAATCCTTATTTACAATAAGAAGAGATCTTAAGTGAACGCCCATTTATCATTGAGTGTTAATTTCAAAGTAATTCTGTAGAAATGGAAGATATTTTCCAGTGGTGCAAAGAAGGAAATGCCCTACAAGTTAGAGTATGGCTTGATGAACCAGAACACGACATGAACCAAGGGTAAGTTGGTTAATTTTGTAAGTTAAACAAATCCATATATGTTATTGGGTAACTTCTTATAGTGGGTTTCAGAAGGAGAAAGTTAACCTTCACAATTAAATTTCATGAACTCAAACAATGCTGCTTCATTTATTAAAAAATGCTAAAGCAATTTCTGGATCTCAAAATTTTTTCAGGGATGACCATGGATTCAGTCCACTTCACTGGGCAGCTATGAAAGGCCACAATAAAATTGTTGAAATGCTTTTATTGCGAGGGGCCAGAGTTAGTGCAACTAATATGGGAGATGATACTCCCCTACATTTGGCAGCAGCACATGGTCACAGAGAAATCGTGAATATGGTAATATAAATATAAGCAATTGAGAAAGAATGGAATAGGTGTTAAATGTCCTATAGGAATATCCATTATATTCTATAATTCCTCTATTTGCATTGACTAAATGTACAAATATGAAGTCGCATCAACATTATTCTAGCACAGTTTTCAATCAAAACTATGGTTTTTTTTACTTATTTGAAAGGTTTATCTGCAAAAATTGGTAAATTTTCGTTATGTGGACACCCGGCGATTTTGAAAAAATTTTTGACTGTACTTACGTATTTTGATGCGTAGATTACGAATCTGAAAGAAAAAAGTGGCGCTCTCCCTTATTTAAAAAGTTACGGCCCTTCAAAGTTCAGAAAAGGGCAACTTTTCAGCCTTCTTTTTCACTGAATAAACTATTTAAAAACACAAGCATTTATTCACTAGGTCACCTTTACATTTTTCTTTCGGATTCGTAATCTACGCATCAAAATACGTAAGTACAGTCAAAAATTTTTTCAAAATCGCCGGGTGTCCACATAACGAAAATTTACCCAAAAATGTTCATGGATATCTTGGAGACTAAAATCCATGAAAATAATCAGTTGATAATTTCTTATACTGATGCAGATATGTGAAAAATCTTATTTATGTGTTTTACTTGTCCTGGTTGGCATTCACCCTTTGATAAAATCCGAGCATTTCGGTTTCGTGTACAAAGTACTTCAGTACCTAATGCCACCTAGCGGGTAGCTGAAAAAGATAGTACATAGTACCACTACTCGCCACTAGATGTCGTTAAGTGTCACAATACACAATAATTGAAATGCAAAAAAAGCATAAGTTTGCTTAGGTCACGCACTTTGCGACTATCCTATTCTAGAAATATAGTTAAGGGCAGAAATTGGCCCTTGGAATAAACTGAAAAAATCATTATGGCCCGAAGGCTTCAAAGTTTGGAGACCCCTGCTGTAGGGAATCAAATTGATTCACTATATATCATTATGTCCTCATAATACAGTTTGCGTTGTACAAGAAACATTCTATGACAGAAGATCTAAAAAATACAAAAGTAAAACTTCTTTACACACGCTTGACTTGGAGAGTAAGCTGGTGAATGCATGACTAGAGCGTTACAAAATGTGTACATATATATACATACATATAGATGGAGCTAAAGAAGTTTTACTTCAGTACGTGTGGTCTAAAGAACACTCCTTTTTTTTTCGGTGCCCTTTGCGTTGAGAACTATGGTCATCTAACCTTGTGTTTTGTGTAAGTTATGTTGATGAATCACCGAGTCACCTAGGCTTGGTTATGTCGGCCATGTCACTTCAACTAAATTCAGTTAAGAGCATTTTGTTTATTATTTATAAATACAGTACTTCATATCAATGAAAACTATTTCTCATTTTAGGTATTTCAAAATGTGTTAAAAAAGCTTATTAGAAAAAAGAAAGAAATAAAAATTCACATACACCATTGAAAACTCTTATTATAGATCTGAAGAAAAACTACTGAAATTCACAAAATTACTTTTTCTTCCTTCATTTGTCCGCCACATTCATAATAAAAACCAGGTATCATTCATAGAACACCCCACAGGACTAACTGAATTAAAGAGTACTGTTTTATTTTTCAGCTTTTGAGGCAAAGAGCTGACATGAATTTTACCAATGAACATGGAAACTCGCCTCTACATTATGCTTGTTTCTGGGGATATGCTGAAATAGCTGAAGATCTAGTCCATCACGGTACTAAAGTAGCTATTGAAAATAAGTATGGCGAAACTGCTTTGGATAAATGCAAAGGAAATTTGGCCAAAACACTCCACGATATTGCCGTTGAATCAGGACAAGACCTCAAAACTATCAAATTCAAGGACCAGAGCTGGCTTGGAATGAAAACACGATCTAGAGATGCAACTTTGTCTCGACACAAGGGAATAAATATCAAAGAACTGGATTTGAAGAGAAAAATAGCTGACACACATAGCGGCATCACATATATTGGTAGGTGGCAGAAAAATGATGTCGTGGGAAAGATCCTTAAAATTCGAGACGTTACCCAAAGAATATCCAGAGATTTCAATGAGGAATTCCCCAAGCTTCGGATATTCTCCCACCCCAACATCCTTCCCGTTATAGGCTGCTGTAATAGCCCTCCGAATCTCATAGTAATAAGTCAGTACCTTCCTTTGGGCTCCCTCTACAATGTTTTACACGAAGGAAGCGGCAACGTTGTAGTTGACACTGTTCAAGCACTACGCTTCGCAATAGATATAGCCCGAGGGATGGCCTTTTTGCACAGTCTAGAAAGGACAATACCTGAATATTTTTTGAACAGCAGACACGTCATGATAGAAGAAGACTTGACGGCTCGTCTGAGTATGGGAGATGCAAAATTTTCGTTCCAAGAGAAAGGAAGAATATATTATCCCGCTTGGATGTCTCCTGAGGCGTTGCAGAAGAAGATTTCCGACAGAAATTGGGAGGCCTCTGATATGTGGAGCTACGCCATATTGCTCTGGGAGTTGGCGACGAGGGAAGTACCATTTGCTGAGCAGAGCCCGATGGAAGTGGGCATGAGAATTGCCTTGGAAGGTCTTCGAATTAGTATAAAACCTGGAATATCTCCTCACATGAAGAAACTCATCAGTATTTGCATGAATGAGGATCCTGGAAAGAGACCTACATTTGACATGATACTGCCGATACTTGACAGAATGACGCGTTGAGTTCAATTTTCTATGTATTTTGATTGTTCAGTGTTTTAAGTAACATTATTATTAATATTAGAGTTAATATTTATTGAGTGCCTTCGAATATTGCCTAAATCAAGTGCTGTAACATTGCTTTTAAAATTTTTAAAATGTTTCAACGCTTTACAAAGAAAGTGCCTGTATTTGTATATTGTAATAATCAGATTTTAATTTTATAAAATGCTTTATTAAAACTTTGATTAAAAATTATAATTCGTTGATTTGATTTTTCAAGTTGAAAGATGTTGGTCATTCAGTTCTATTTTTCAAAAATATTTTGAACTGCAATGTTATTTGTTAAGTTGAACATTACATATGTAATGAAAGACAAGTTTATTTGTACAAGTAGTCTCACTGAAGTAATTTCTTTGAGTCGTATAAGAGATTTCATCTATAGAAAGTATGAATTCAATTTGGATCAACCACAGCCCAATCCTTGAATAGATTCAGTCTAAAATCTAGGCGAATATTTGCATTTCTTGTCTAGCTGCGGAAGGTACTATTGTTGTATATTTTCAAAATTACTTTGAGTGGATTTAGCAGCTTTGCTCAATTTTTCTTAACCTGGTGAATGGTAGTTCTCATTGAATAAAAAATAGAACACTAGTCCAAATGGACACGAAGCTCCAAACATCACTGGTTCCAAGATAAGCTTGAAGGCTTAAAAACTAAAGCGCAACCTCACTAACCTATTTCATCCTAGAAATGGCAAGATTAGTTGCTTTATTTGAAATCATCAAATTCTTCACCACAGGGGAAGTAACTCACCTAACCACCTATCTTTTAAACTGTAGAAACCACTGCTTTCAAACCATCGGTAGGCTAATCCAACTGACGGTGGGAACAGAAAGTTGAACCGCCCATTTCACATGATTGAATTCCACCTGAACCACAAATCACTTAACCCCTACAAATCACTCCTACCAAGCAATCAGTATAAGCTGATTAAATAAATAAACAGTCAGAATGAAATTACCTGAGCTTATGTTATCAGTTAATTTCCACATTTGAAAAAATATTCAGTAACGGGTAGTTATTAAATTCTACTTGGTCATTCAGTAAGTCACCCGAATTCTTGAATCTATTTTCTAAACATGAAAGAGTTTCAAACTTTCCTCTCCTAGATGCAAAAAATGGTTTACAAATGTGGAATTGGTCTTTCTGGTTACAAAACTACTTCTATGCTCTTTAATTCTTTGGGAAAAGTTCTCCTTGTTTGGCCAATATAAAGTTCCGGGCAAGAGACACAAGTCAGGTTATTTACTCCTGATGTATCCGACACAAAAGTTTTCTCTTTAGCATTTTAATAAATTTGCTTAAATTATTATTTATTCTGTAATCCACGTCCTAGAATCCTTTTTTTTAAACTGGGGATATTGGTGGGTTCACAAAGAGATGAAAATGTCCTACAGCGGGCGCTATAGTTTCTTCTAGATGAAATCAGAGCCCAAAGTTTAAGCCGCAATCCAACCCCAGAAGCGCCCTCTTCAAAAGAAAACACCGAATAAGAAAAGACTGACTTCTCTTCTTCTATGGAAGCAATAGAAAACTCGATCAAAGAATATAGATGCAGCCCAGAACCCTGAACGCAGCCATGATTGTCCAATTTTCACAAATAAAATGGCTGCTGCAAAGTTGTGGCATTTCTGTTTCCTCTTCATCGCTTTTAATGCTGCTGTCAGTTGACTTTGTACCAACGTATTAGTTACACTTTTTTTTGTTTTTTGATGTCGAATTACAGTTTGGTCATTTTTTAAAATCATTCTTTTTTTGTTATATCGTAACCACAACTTAGGCAACCAACATTTCCTTGATGGTTAGCACTTTTTTACATTCACAGTGTTTTTCCAGAGTCAGGTTTTTTCTTATCTGTTAACCAACTTTTTTCTATTTGACTACTCGAGAGAAAGCCGAGTTTAGTGCGAGACGATTTCTCTGATTTTTATATTTACAATTTATATTTATTTCTTGTTCTGAGATACTTCTCTTAGGTAGGTACTTGAGGATTTCATCGGTCGTGTCCTGTTCTTGTTAATTATTCTACTTCATTGTAGATAGAAAACAAATCCAACTGACTACTTCACTGATAGATTAATTAGAAATTTTTGGGAAAAAAGTTTTTGGCTTTCTACTACTCCATCTTGATACAAAAAAAAAGGATAAGAGAATCTTCCAATCTTCAATTTGAAAATAAGTAACTCTATACATGAACGTGTAGATCATGCAAAGAAGTAACTTTCAGACACAAACTGAAAGAAAGTAAGATACTTTTCTCTACTCAGTTTGTATTTCAAACATTCCTTGTGGAATAAAAATCAGATATCATTCACATGAGTTCTACTTTAAATAAATGGTAACAAATTGCACTTACATGGAACACTGTCATCCTCACTGGCATACATCGATGTTTCGCCTTAAGACACTTGACCTAAGACTCTTCAGTACCAAATTGGATAACATTATAGAAAATACGCACAATTCATTCATATAATATATAGTTAGAGTTATTTATTTTCAAATTGATTACTTTCTTTGGAAGATTCCCTCTTCCTTTTTTTGTATCAAGATGGAGTAGTAGAAAGCCAAAAACTTTCCCAAAAATTAATCACTTCTAAAAATATAAACCCTTCAATTAATTAATTAACAACTTTTGAACAATAAAACTAAAATAAACTAACTTTAATTGGGAACACAGCGTTTTAACAATGAAGTTAAGTAAGTTATCTTAAATTGAAAATACAGTTTGACTGTACAAACACTTAATAGAGGAGTGTTGAAGCGTGAATTCGTCATCTGCGCCGACATGAGTCATGGCTGGTAAAAAATTTAACAAACTCCAACTATTATCATGTATAGTGTTGATAATTCCCAGTGTAGGTGTATATAATTCACTTGAAATGGTTTTTCTCCTACTCCTAGTTTCGTTCTCAACTATTGATCATCCTGTACATTAACCAAACGAGCAAATATTAAGTGACGACAATAAGAAAAATTATTATACAGGTTTCAACTTCGCCCTTTTCGAAAAAGAATCTGACCCACATTTTCTCCAATTCTTGGCCGATATTTTAGTCATAACCAGAAACGTGAATCAGGTATAAATACTTGGGCGAGTGAAATAAAACAAAACCGTATACAGGATCAAACAATAGATTCTTCCGGCATGCGCGGTAGTCCCGTGGCCACGAGAATATCGAGTCTAGAGCTTCCCGAACAGCCCCTAATAAAATGCTCCCGTAGCCCCAATGGCAGCGCTAAGGCTCACCAGTTTCCGGCAGTGAGAGCGTGTACGAAGATATGACACGGTCGGGGTGAAAATGAGGTCCTTGTGCACTCTTTCCGGGAGATATGGAGGCCACCAGTTCGACTCCGAGCTCTCCAGGAAATGCGGATTCGACATTCACCAGGTAGGCAGTAGCGTAATCGGCTTGATCGATTTCTGCGGGCTGATATGGAGGCGGCCGGTGCATTTCTAGGTTGATAGTGTGATTACGGGGGAATCAAAAGTAGTATGCTTCAGAAGTCTAGTTTTACACAAGTACCATTTCACAAAAGCCTTCATCGAAAGTGACGATTGAGCTTTGACTAGTTTGAAAGTTATGAATCATTTAATTGAAGAAATAAAAAGATGCTGGTTCTTCAGCAAATATCTCAGAAACTATTGCAGATATTGAAAATTTAAAAAAGGTCCTTGAAGAAAAGGCAATTACAGAAAAAAATTACACCTCCTGGAACTGGAACAACAATATTTTGTCGTTTCAGTTGGGCGGTGAAAAAGCATGTGGAAACGAATGCAAACAACGCATAATCCGGTCGTTTCAACAAAAACATATTTCAACCTATTAAGTGTAAATATTAAGGAATGATGAAAATCAGATATTCGGTGGATAGTTGGATTAACAATATTTAGAATTTTTCTCCTAATTATGCTTTTGAAAATTAACAATTTTGTTTGAGCTGGAGATTTACATAAAAACCCGGATAATTTTTCAAATTGCTTTGATGTTTTTTCCTTGAATCAATTCTTCAAAGACTTTAAAAATGTTTCTTGGTGGTACAATTGAAAAAAAAGTGTTTCATTCATTGAACACTTTTTTTCAAATGTCTCGGTTTGTTTGTTTTCTCATTTATAAAAGCTATAACAATATGATCTTTTTAAATTTTCGTTTTTATATGACTACGAAAACATTCCATTTCATAATGAAGCTGTAATGCAATTTGACTGCGGAATATTGCGAATCAATCCACTGTAGATGAGGAAATCGCATGAAGGGAGTAACGTGTTCGGTGTTGTCAGGTTTACTGTTTTTGCAGTAGATCTGAATACGTTTTTGAGCTACTGTTCTACTGTTTGAAAGTTAAAAACGATTGATGACTCAATTCACTTTCTGTAATAATAATTAAATGAGTGCAAATTGTAGAAACTACCATGAAGGTTGAATGTACCTATTAAATATATTTTCTAGTGTTTTTAATATAACTCGGCTAATAACGGCACAATATTTATTAATAATAAACATAATTTCAACTTGAAGCGAATATGATTTTTGAATGTGATAAATATGTTGTTGTTTTACTGTTATTATTTGTACTGTTATTATATTGACAAAATGGTTTAGACTTTCACTGCAGAGCCGTTGTTTTTTGGAATTTTTTTCTGACGTTTCGCTGGCGCAAGTGGCTAGCTTCTTCAGAGGTTTAACTATCATGGCTTGCTGTCCGATGACTACTTTTTAGGCTTCGTAAAGCGTATTTATGCCTTGTCAGGTAATCAGTTGTATTTGTACCGGTATTCGTACCTGCACTTGAACCTGGAACATTAACAATCTTGGTGCCTGTTGTTAACGTTCCAGGTTCAAGTGCAGGTACGAATACAGGTACAAATACAACTGATTACCTGACAAGGCATAAATACGCTTCACGAAGCCTAAAAGGTAGTCATCGGACAGCAAGCCATGATGGTTAAACCTCTGAAGAAGCTAGCTACTCGCGTCAGCGAAACGTCAGGAAGAAATTCCAAAAATCCACGGCTTTCAAACTCGAAAAGCAATGCCAGTGTCATTATATTGTATGTATATTCAATAACTAGATAAAATAAATACTCATAAATGTTGAAATAATATTCAAAGTGATCCCTTTTGTTTCTCATAAACTATACCTAAGTCTGTTAAAAATCTGTTTTTTCATTAACCAGCTGTCGCTCTCCTACG